CTAGCCACGCCCCTCCCGCACTTGCCCTCCCGAGTTCCCCGGGCCGGGTCTTCGCACCTCTGGTAGGCCCACAGGTTCAAGATGCCCACTCCATCCTCAGCTCCTTCCCAAAGCCTAACTCTGTCCCGTTCACGGCCCCGCCACTCCGGCTCCTTGCCCCCTTGCCCCTCAGACAGACACAGGCCACGCCCATCTACCCCTCCCTCTAGTAAGCTCCCGCGTGGACCCCGCCCTCACCCTAAGGCTCTACGCGGTGCGGCCCCTCCTCACCTCAGCACACTACAGGCCCTTCTACCTTAGCATCTCCGTCTCGTGGGGTCGCCCTTCTCTATACCCAACCCACTTAATAGCCCCGCCCCCTGTGGCCCCGCCTCTTCTCTCCTAAACCCCTGTCTGTGCCCAGACCCGCCCACTTCTCAGGGTCTCCTCCACTCAGACCCTGCCCGGTCCCACCCACAGCCCCGCCTCAGTCCGCGAGCGGACCCCGCCCGCACCCGCTGGCCCAGCGCACAGCGACTTACCAGCTCGCCGCCTCCGGCGTCCTGCCGGAGTGGTACGTTATTCGCTTTCGTGGCTAAAGCCTACATTCTGACATTCTACCGTAAAGTCTGCGTTTGTTCTGGGATCTCCCCACCCACCAAGGGTTGGTACTGCTGTCTCCTGTAGCCTTTTGTGCTGCCTGACGCACAGGGTCCCATCTACGGGAAATAGCGCCAATGGCAATGTTTTAAATTGCTGAATGATCTCTCACAGCGGGCTAGGAAAATAGCGATGGCTAATGGCTAATAGCAACTGCTCTGTAGTGGGTCGCTCCTCAAGCTGCACCTAGGGCACCTGCCCTGCCTGCCATACCTAGAGCCATAACTTAGTTACGCCTCTGCTGATGCAATGAGGATAACAGAGTAAAGCTTTGCAAGCTACAGTTGACTTCACTTCCCAGCTGTTGATGACTCCCTCTTCCGGCCCCCTCCATCCCCCCACCTCTCACCTCTCCAAGTCTGGCACGTCCGTCTCAGGGCCTTGAACTGTGTGTGTGACTGGGGGCCACTACCCCATGTGGGCAGAGCTTGGGTCTCTCTGTCATCTAAGTCATGAGAAGGAGGTGAGCTAGGGCTACCTTAGCTAGCAGGGCTTTGTCACAGCTGGGGAAGTCGGGCCATGCTGGCATGAAACCGGGATGGTGGAGTGGAGTCTGCAGGATCGTCTGGGGAGCGTGTGCTTGGAGAATCGGCCACTGCAGCTTTGGAAGGCATTGGCTGGGAAACTGAGGCGGGCAGGGCCAGGAGAGCCCATGATCAACCTGGATCCTGTCACTCCCTGGCAACACACTCCCTGACTTCCAGGTGCTTTCTCCATGTCTGAGTTATCTAGTGCTACTTTAACAGAAATACCACAAGTGGATGGCTTTAACAAAGAGAAATTTATTCTCTCACAGTTTAGGAGGCTAGAAGTCTGAATTCAGGGTGCCAGTTCCAGGGGAAGTCTTTCTCTCTCTGTCAGACAAAATGGTGGACAATCACATAATACTGGAAATCATGGCCTAGCCAAGTTGACACACATTTCTGAGGGACACAATTCAATCCGTAACACTACATAAGGCCTGGACTCCTTTGCTGCTGCACACTCAGCAGAGAAGCCAGTCTGGAAAGAGAAGTGGATGCCTGAAGAGGAGACTTTGGGAGCCAGAGACAAGGAAAGATGTAGAATGGCTGCGTCGGTCCTGAGGGCTTTTCATTTCTCCTTCCTGCCCCTCAGGTTTCCATCAAACCACCCTTGTAAGATACTCCTTGTTGTTTTCTTAACCAAGTTAGAATGGGTTTTGTTTTTTGCCTGACATCATGAACTCCCCCAACATATCTCTTCAGACTTACATCCCATTATTCCCCCAACCCTTTACTCACTGACATTGGATTGCCTGCTTTTCCCTAACCTCATCCTGCTCCTTCCCATCTCCCTCGCCCCCTATGTGTTCTGCAGTCTCTGAACTGAATCTCCAAATGTCTCCTACCCTCTAAAGCCTCCCTAGATACCCTACCTCCTTCCGCTGAGTGCCTACAGCACTATGTCCCTTCCTGAGGGCATTGCTCCTATATGCCATTTATGTTCTGGTCACCTTTTAGCTGAGCTCTGAGTGCCCCATGCCTCTTTCATGTCTATCTCGCACATCAACTCTTTGCTAAGTGAATGCATGTGACTTTAATAAATTCAGCGAGATTCATTGGAAAACACATTTAATTTCAAAGTAAACAAAGATGTTTATACATTAAAGTATTTAATTAGTGAAACAATTATTATCAGTGTAACAAGCTGAAAAATACAGCAACTTGATACAAGACTGAGGTAACAAAATACTTCACCAAAAATCTAAAGAATCCCATGGAGGGCTGATGTTCAGTGGTTATTTCGGGTGAGACAATTCACAAAAATCTGAGGAAGTCCTTACACAACTGCATGCAGGAGTCTGCTGGAAAAAAAGACAGCCCAGGAGAGTGCAACAGATCTAACAAGAAACAAATTAAAATGTAGAAACTGATTTTCAACTTACTTTGAAGAATACGTAAGAAATTGAAAACTACTCTATGCAACATTTTGAATGCTAAGTGGAAAACCATGCATTTTGGCACAAAATGTATTAAAGATTATACAATACTAATTAATTACTACTGTTTCATTACTGAATGGTCACAGTCGTTCAGAAATGGTTACAGAGATTAATGGTTATAAAATGGACAGATGATCCACCGTGTTACTGCTGTGAACAGGGATTTTGGGGCTGTCCATGGCATAGGCAGGCTTGCGCAGCACAGGGCTGCAAGGTGGTCTGAAGTTCATGGTACAAGTTCTCAACACCCAAGAAAACATAGCTCTTGCACTAGCTCATGCTGTACTTCTATTTATCATTGAAAAAACAGTAATTTTAAGAACCAACTATGAAGCAAATACTGTGAACATTCTGACCCTGCTCTCTCCTTCCACCTTGGAGTCCTTGGTGTACCTAACCATAGCTCTAGCTCTGTGCCTGGCTTTTCTGGGCCAACCCAGCATCTAGGACAGCGACTCCATCTAGTCCTTGTTGCGACTGAACTTGCAGAACAAGAAGCTGTTCAGTCTGTTGAGCCTCTCGAAGCCTTTCTGGAGGAATGTGTGCACAGGATTTATACACATTGCTAGGACAGAGGATGGGTATTGCCAGAGGAGATGCGTGGAGTAGGGATTATTTGTTCATTGGGTGGTTAGCTCCATGAGGGCAGGGATTGGGTCTATCTTGTTCTCAGCCATTTATATCTCCAGTAGAGCCTGGCACATAGGAAGCACTCATTAGAGATGTGAATGAATGAATGGATGGTTTCATGTAAAGCATGTGTCATTTCAAAGGGACTCTTGTAATGTTTTCGTTTAATATGAAGTCACTCAACATGTAATATGATATGGAGCTGATTAAAGTCATTTCTGGAGTCACACACAAAAAGCTAGGCTGTGTTTTTCTGCAATGTTCACAAGCATTAGCAACGTGGGCACGGAGCTCTGAACTTGACCTGTGGAATGAAAACAGACCTTGCTTGAAAGTGGCCTCACATTTTCATGGACAATTTTCCACTTGTAAAATGATATCCTAAAAGATAATCTCTTGGGTTTGGGAGGTGGGAGGAACATGATGAAAGAAATACTGGCCATCTTGGTACGAACATGCTTTATAGATTCAGTTGGCAAGAGGGTGGGTTCTTTCCTAAGCAGAATCCCTTCAAGTATCTTCTTCCTGAGGTTCCAGTCTGACAGGGTGATGAACAGGCTTCTACTCAAGGGAAAGAAGGGAGGCCATACTCTCTGATTCTGAACAATAGTTTTACTGTTCTCCACCAAATCAATCCTCCATGAAGTATTTCAGTTGCCAGAATGCACTTGGCTGACCTTGAGTTACAAAATGAGTTCAACTGTGAGGGGTGAAAGAGTTACTCCCAGGGAGTGGTGAGTGAGCTGTTCTTGGGACATCATAACGATACCAGCTGCCTACTCCACAGTTTGTAGATAGCATTCTATAATTTTCATTTTGGGATGCCATGATCTGTTTGCTAAAAAAAAAAAAAAAAAAAGAAAAAGATACAGCATATGCAGGGAAGATATTTCACCTTCAATGGTTTCACAAACATTTGTGCACTATGGACAGTCAAAGAGCAAAAGGCAGAAATGTTTCCCTCCAGGGTGAGAATCCACCCACAGACTTTCCCCCTATGTGGCTTGTGCCTGGCCCCCTCCGTCCCAGGCTTGCAGGCCTTCTCATCTGCAGCTTGAGGGACAAACCAACACTGGGAAAACACTCAGCACTTAACTCACATGCTTGGCCCTGAGCCCTTCCATGGAGAGCCGAGCACATTTCAGCTTCGTCTGCAGGACTCTTCTGGTGTGTTCAAGGTTCTTGTTAGATTCCACAATGCCTTTTCCAACAGGTCTAAACAGATTCTTAGAGAGTCCAAGCTAAGAATGTTTCTGGGAGGGGATATGGGATCAATCTGAATTTGTGAGAAGACTAAACACTTTGAAAAGAATTGTAATTGTGCTATTCAAATTAGGTTTAGAAGAAAATATCTGGGCAAGATAAGAAAAATTTGCAAAGGGTAGAAAATTACCTCATTTAGTAGAGCCCAAAATTTTGAGGTTTTCGGGTTAGCATCCATAATATTTCGTGTGAGAGAAACCAGGACAGTTTGAAGAGTAGAGAAATCCAAGGAAAATAAGTAGTGGATACTCCAGTCTTGCATTTTCATCCACACTTAAGACTTTTAAAAAGTTTATATGTAGAATTAGATTCAATGTAGTTTAAAGTGTTAACACTGCATGGTTCTGGTCAGAGGTGTTTGGAATGTTTGGCATTTTCATTAAGCCTCTAGATGCTCATTTTAATAAATCACTGGTGTAAAGTAACTGCACACACATTCTGACCCCACCTATGGTTGGGTGTGCAAAGCAGCCATGGCCAAGGTTTGATGGCATCAACTTTACCACCTGGAGTTTCTCCTGGTACTCTAGTCTTTGCTCAAAAGCAGAGTTATTGAGCACAGTAAGGTTTAGCCACAAAATAATGCCTTAGTAACAACTACTTTCTTCACCAATTCATTCACATTTTCAAAAAAGTTGTCACCATTTAATCAAAATACAGTGGACGGTCCTTTGGTAGTTTTTCAATTGACCTATTACCAGTTTATTGATTTAGATGTTGTTTTGAAGCATCTTGTTCAGAAACTCTTAAGGGTAGTTTGATGCCCAATCAGTGTGAGCTCTGAGACAATGATAGCTACAAAGACCCCAGAAAGTCAGTTTCTCTCAGAAAACTTAGTTTCCTTCTTAGAATTAGGACACCCAAATGAAAAGAGAGAGAGAGAAAAGTAGCTATAATGATGGAGTAATTCATCATTTTGAATAAAAATGTATCTGTGCAAAATAGAAGTCACTTTAAGATATGACAAGAGGTAACAGATAAAGGACATTGTTCATGTGGAGAGCTCTTAAATCAATGTAGAGCTTGGACCTTTCACTCCCCAGGGCTTTGCCGTCTTGTCACCATGGTCATCAACAATGGTGCCCTCGGACTTGGATGATGGAGAACTTGCTGGTGGCTGTGTTTGGGGAATACGGGGGCAAGACTGGGGGAGCTTAAGGCCTCAGCGTCACTCAGCTCCCCAGCATTATTAGGATTCCCGGTGGGCTCCGCCCTGGCAGTGGAGGCAAAGGGGTAACGATGGGAGCAAAAATCTTGTCCTGCAGGGAGAGGTTGGTGCAAAGTAGCTTCTGTGAAGCTGTTCACTGTTAGCCTGGCAGCTTCCGACCTGCTTCAGATGGAGCTGGAGTAAATGTCACAACTTCCCATTCTGGTATGGTGGGAGGGAGTGAAAAGAGAAGGGCCTTCAGACCCTGCCAGGGAGAGGAGATGGAAGGAAACAAGCAGGCCAGTGGCCCAGTCCACAGTCCTGAAGCTGGGCCCTGTCTTGGAAGGGCTGACAGTGACAAGGCCTAGAAGGGACCCGGGGGGACCCAGGGAGCAGGCCTTCCAGATGAATAGCACCCATAGGAACAGAAAACAAGACACAATTTAAGGCATTGTTTGTTTACAGTGAAAGAACATGGGGGATCCTTAACACAGAAGTAATCTGGGCTCTCACTCTGACCTTCCTTGGTGGACAAGGCTGTAACTTAAGGTGAACACAGGGCCTCAATATGAATGAAGTGTGTGATGTCACAAGTCTTGTGCCAAAATGCATGTTTCTCAAAGAGCTCACACTCGCTCACACGCACGCATATACAGCACGCAAACGCAGAGGACGCTTCGGGGGTTGTACAAAATCTGAGGCAGCCCTGTGGGCGAGTGACCCCGTGCACTTGGGGTGTAAAAAGCCTGTTCCACAGCCTGTTCCTCCTCTCTGGCCCCTCATGCAGGTTAACACTGTCCACTCTTTTGTGCAGTAGAAAGCACTGAGTACCCAACGTGGGCCAAATGCTCTCTAGTGGCAGAAGCAGCTCATGGACGAGGGCCCAGACGGGGAGGGTGTACAGTTTGGGGTCCAACCAATGCCCCGCAAAGTGGTGCTGCAAAGTGAGTGTCATGAGAGTCGCTAGGGGTAGGCAGGTGGATCCTGAACTGGCGGAGTCCTCTGGGACTGTGAGGCCGCAGGCCACATCCCCTTGAGTCCGAGCAGCTGTGACTTTCCCAGCATCCTGGCCAGGGCCCAGGGCCTGCTCTTCTCCACTAGTCCCAGGCTGGGGATCCCAGAAGCCTTTGAAGTCATGCCAAGTCCCGCAGAGACTTATTCAAATGACATAAGGTTTGCAGGTACCTAGAAAAGAAAGCTCAGCCTCTTGTCAAAATTCTAACCTTTCAAAGGGGACAGGGTGGTCCCTAAGGGAAGGGGCCAGACCTTTCTTAGTCTGTGAATGAGCAGCTCAGATGGAGAGAGGATATGACAATAATAACAATCACCATTTGTTCAGTGACAGCTGTGTGCCAGGCACAGTTCTGAGTGCTTCATATGCATTATGTCCTTGAGTCCTCACAACAATCCCATGAGGCAGGTACTGGAATTATCCCCATTATAAAGATGAGGAAACTGGGACTGAAAGAGGTTAAGTGCACACAGCAAGTAAGTGGCAGTGCTAAGACACCAGAGTCTACACTCTCAATCACTACCCTCTGATCAAAATAAATCTGTACTTGGCGTGAAGAGGAGACAAACCACACAGGAATAGGGCATGTGCCTCTGGAGGGGGTACCAGCGAGGGTGGGGTGGGTGTTAGGGGATGGCAGGAATTGGCAAGTGGAAGCACAAGAAACAGCAAGTTTGGGGATATTGGGAACCCCTAGACCTTCCCATAGCTATGCTCCAGAGCTGCTCCCTGAACAAGACCCCAGACCCCTTTACTGGGTGGACTACCAGCTCTGAGGTCAGCCTGCTTCCCCCTCCCCTCAAAACTGCAAACACATCCCCAACCCTGGACCTTCTCACCCAGCACTGCCCTGGGCTCCAGGAGATTTGATTAGAAGCAATTTAATAAAAAACAAATCCATCTTGGCATTAATTTGATCACAATTATGAACTGGACAAAATGTATGTCCTTGTAGGAGACAGTTATAACAACGGTCACAGCAGTGCTCTTCAAAATAGCCAAAGGCAGGAAACCATTCTTGGCATCATCAATAGAGAATTGATTAAAAAAAAAGAAAACAGTACAAACAAATGCATCACAGTTATATGAATTAACACAGATGAATCTTAGGAACACACTGCAGGAGAAAAGCAAGCCACAGAAGAAAATATACAGTTATGGTTCTATTTATAAAAAATTAAAAATCACACACCAGATAACACATTGTTTAAGGAATCAAACACATGCTAAAATGACAAAGGAAAGCAAAAGAATGGCAAACACACAAACCAGGAGAGTGGTTAGGGGGCGAAGGTAGAAGACAGGGAGGTAGGATTAGGGACGGGTACCTGGGGGAGAAAGGAGCCCTGGTGGTGCAGCGGTTAGTGCTGGACTGTTAACCTTTGCCCCCATAAGGATTTACAGCCTTGGAAACCCTATGGAGCAGTTCTGCTCTGTCCTATAGGGTCACTGTGTGTCAGAATTGACTTGACAGCAGTGAGTTTTGGGGACCTGGGGTAAGGGGCTCCAAGCCCTGGGAGGTTCTGCTTAGGCTGGGTGGTGGGTACACAAATGTTTGTTTTATTGCCATTGTTTATACCTAAGACATTTACAATATAATGTCAGTGTATTCAGTGTTAATAAAAACAATTTTAAAAAATGCAATTCCACAAAAAAGAAAATGAATCTTCTTAGTCACTGAGATTTTTCATGTGAATAGGTGCATTTCTGTTAACACCCTTTATTAGACCCACCTTGGATTCCATCACACAATGTACCGTGATTTATTTAAATATTCCTCTGCTGTTGAATATTTAGATTGTTGCCAACTTTTTATTATTACATATAGCATAGAATGGGACTATTTGGTTGAAAGTAGAAATAAAAAGTAGAAAAAGTAAAATATCCCCTCCCCTAGGTCTGAAAACTGAATAAAAATACTTAAAAGTTGCAAAACCTCCTTTCCATGGTTTTGCATTTGCCAATTCATGAAATTCAATCCATTTGTCCTTCTGATCAAATATCAGCTCTGCCAAATTGGTTTGACCCAGTCACTTGCTATTTGTTACAGAGCTACTGCCACCCTCTGGCTGCTCCCCCAAAGAGGGACAATTGGCTCTTGCTCAGACCTTCCACCCCTGCTCCCTGCTGGGACTTACCCAGGTGTCAAGATTATGAATCAGACAGAGACCAAGGTCCTGCCTCTTTCCCTTGGAGGTGAGAAGCAGTGGCTCCTCCATTCGACAGCTCCAAGGAGTCTCCCACAGCCATTCCCTACTCCCACCATCCTGGCAGCCCACCTCATGGCTATCAGTCCCTGTCGAACCTGGAGCCACCCCAGCCTCCTGCTCACAGGTCATGGGGGCCATCTGTGTGTGGCAGGTGAGCTCCAGTGTGCTGTGCTGTAGAGAGTGGCACTGAGCGCCAAGGAGAGGTCCCAGACAGAGTGCGACTAGTGCAGAGGAGGGCAGGATGCTTGTCCTCTGTTAACGCCCCCTGTGGCTGCACCAGCCTTGTTCAAGCCTCCACACATCGTTCACTTTGGATCACCTGGAGATGACTGCTGAACAAAACCCCTAGTCTCTCCATCATGTAGACAGGCAATTACATTTTCTTTATATAAAATTATATGTAAGCCTTCTACAAACTATAGAAGTATAGTTTCTTACATTTTAGAAATTTTACATGCATAAGCAAACCTACACATAATAAATATGCATACGTATTTTAATATAAATGAGATCATCCTTTATGTACTTTTTTACATTTTGCTTTTGTATTTATATCTTGGAGATTCTTTCTGGTCATCCCACACAGATCTACCTTAGTCTCCCTAACAGCTCTCAAGTGTTGCACCATAGGGATCTAGTGACGGTCACTGACGTGGTTTCCAGGGTTATTTCTATCAAGAGCAGTGCTTTAGTGGACATTCTTAAACACATCTTTTGTCTGTGTGTGAGCATATCCTAAGACAAACTCAAGGGACTCAACTGCCATTTATTTTGAGCTTCCCTGTGGTATCTCAAGTTTATCCCTGTATTGGTCTTGTTCTATTGTTCCAAGTTGTTGAGGATTTTCTGGATCCTGATTTTGTCATCCAACCTGTTTATTCTGCTTTCTAGCTTCTTATCATCTATAATTTTGACCAGCTTGTCATATATATTGTCATCCACGTTACAGATGGAAATCCTGAACGGGACCAAGCTGAGTACAGAGCCCTGGGACTTGCCACTAGAGAACTTCCTCCACTTCACAAGAACCTCTCTGAGGGGCTATAAAGTTGTGACTGTGCTGTCACCAGCACATCTGAAGTCCCTGCACTCACAGACCCAGATGCCAGTGTGAACTTACCTTTGCTGAGGTTCCCTCAGGCCTCTGAGGAGCTGCCTGCAATGAGATGGCTTATCTTATACCTTCAACTACTACCTTGAAGCTGCCACATTTACTCCCTGCCCTGATGCTCTCCTCAGACTGCCTGAGGAGGGGGAACCAACTTTCCCAGCCCCACCTCTGGCTGATCCCTGTGGAACATGGACATAAGATACTTACGGACAGGAAGACCGATACTGGCACCAGCAGCCCAAGTGCTGCCCACCTGCCCACCCTGGGGAGCAGGAAGGTCCAGCCTGTCCCCCCTCTGGTGCTGAGGGTGGGGGCAGCCGTTTCTCTCACAAGCCTGGACAGCCATGGCTGTGCTTCCAGGCCTTCAGCTTAACTGCAGGAGCCTGAGCACACCAGGGACTCTCAAGGAAGCAAGAGGCAGGAGAGCTCAGTGGTGACAAGTAAAGAATTGGGAGTCAGGCAGACCTGTGTTAGATCCTAGCTCTACCACTTACTAACTATGGGGCTGTAAACAAGTACCTGCCACTTTCCAAGCCTCAGTGTCCTCAGTGTCAAATGGAGACAGTAAGAGAACCTACTTCACAGGGATATTGTAAGGATTTGGCTTTTTCTTGCATGTAAAACATTTAGCACACTGCCTGGTGCCAAGGAGAGGATGGGAGTGGTTGGGGCAGGGAGATTACAGTGATCCAGGCCCAGCGGTCCAGAAGGGGCCACATCAATACAAATCCTACTGGTTCAAACAGCTGAGAAACCTGTAACGCCTTCATTTCATCAGCAGCCTTGCCTGGACATGGTTCGCTTTCAGTAAATTAGCTATTATTATTCCTAAGGGTTGTACCCTTTAGTCAGTTTGGAGTATTCCCATGAAATCAACTTTGGGGGGAGCTACCTAAATAGATTCTGCAGCCTGAACCTTGGGGTGATATCACACCTGCCTCACTGTCCCACGATGGATGTTTCTGTGATATTTCCTTTAGTGGGAAAAACACAGGGACAAGATTCTAAGTTCTGGTTTGAAGCTGAGATTAGTGCTAAGCTGAGCAAGGGGTGCTCTGTCTCATGGAAAAAGGCTGATCAAAAGGGTGGCTGGGAGCATGGCTGATGAGCTCTGAGGGGGAAGCAGGGAGCCCTGCTTTCTAAGGACCCCTAGTCCCAAGGGTAGGAGAAGGTATTTCAGGTGACAAGCAGGATTTTGATGACTTTACCTGAGGCCTGTTGCTTTTACATGCATCATCCAAATGCTTGTGCCACAGTATTGCATGAAACCTGGAACCAGTCTGAAACTTGTAAACATTGCCTGATGGGTAAAGAAACCATTGGTTAAGAAGAGTGTCACATGGGAGGACTGGCCTGTGACTGGGACATGAAGATAACATGAATATCAGTAACTACGGAAGATCAGAGCAGCCCAATGCAAGCTCGTGGCTTGCAGAGGAAGGCAGCTTCTTGCACTCTGGGGGCTTTCTCTTTGGATCAGGTGCTCTCAGGTGCTCTCAACCATTTTGGAGGCCATGAGTGCCTTTGGCGGTTTGGTAAAACCTGTGGACTCCTTCTCAGAATGTTTTCAAATGTATAAAATACAAAAGAAATTAAAATACAGTTATCAAACTATTAAAAAAACAAACCAGTTACATAATTATATATGTGTTTCTTTGTTAATGCACTAATAATAATTATACATAGTGGCAGGTCTGATACTGTACTATAATTCTGAATGATAAGTATAAATGATATTTTGAGATATCTGCAACAATATGTGATATGAAAATGTCTGTGATTTCTATTGGATACTAAAATCACAGAGACTGCTAATATTCTTATAGTTTTATATCCACAACCACAACTGAAGGAGTTAGAGGTTACTGAAAACAAAGACGTAATTTTTTCACATTCAAGTTCATGGACCTTTTGAGTTCTATCCATGGACCCTGCCCACCCCCTGTGTCCCACTTCCCTCTGCTTAGGGACAATGTTTTCCTTTGGGCTAAGGTCCAAGAATAGCCTGTGGTCCCTATGACCGTAGTGTTTATAAGTCAAGCTCATGTAGGCATAGCCTTTACTTCCTAAAGAAACCATTTCTAACCTTGGCCCAGAGTGTTAAGGAATAAATTCAAATGGTAACCAAACTGAGGCCACACTGGTAATAGTATGTGGGTTCAATCACTCAGACATCTAGAAGAGAACTTGACAATCTACCTCTCCTCCCCATTCCCTGGCTCTTTGAGCAGATCGGCATCTTTGTATTCCTTTGTTTCTTTCTTTCCCGGCTAAGAACATTAGAGTCTTGACACTCAGAGTATGGTCTCTTGACCAGCAGCATCATCGGCATCACCTGTGAAGCTGTTAGAAATGCAGAATCTTGGTCCTGCCTCAGATTTATTGAATCCAAATCTGGATTTTAACAAGACCCTCAGGTGACTTGTATATACATGAACCCTGCATTAGAATATTCCTGTTAAGGTGTAAAGATTATTGGGGGACATTACAGCCCCACTAAGTTTACCTGGCTGGAATCCAAGACCTAGGCAAATGGCTATGGGCTATTCTCTTATGGCATGGGCTACCGAGAAGTCTAGCCATGGCCCATCCTGAATATCAATGAAGACAAGGCTCCTGGACAACATGGCACCCAGAACCTCTTCCTTCTCCCAGCATGGTCATGGGGGAAGGACAGAATCAGAAGGAACTGGAAGATGGCTGGGGAAATTACTCAGGGCTTTGAACTGGTTCATTGCAGTTCAAGCTCCTGCTGAGAAATTGCATTTCTACCCCAGATACATTGAATAAGAATCTATATTTTAACAAGATCCCCAAGTGATTCTTATGTATAATAAACTTTAAGAACTACTGCTCCATTAGTGGAGCCCTGGTGGCATAGTGGTTAAGAGCTCGGCTGCTAACCAAAAGGTTGGCAGTTCGAACCCACCAGCCACTCCTTGGAAACCCTATGGGACAGCACCCTGTCCTATAGGGTTGCTATGAGTGGGAATCGACTCAATGGCTATGAGTTTGGTTTTTTTTGGCTCTCCTAGTGGTTCTCAGAATTGGTCCCTAACCAGCAGCATTAGCATCACCTGGAAACTTGTTAGATATGTAAATTCTCAGCAGGGGTTCCAACTGGAATGAACCAGTCTGAAGCCCTGAAATTACTATAGTTAGAGCTTATAAAATCCATGTGAAAGGGTTTTTCTCTAAGTTGGCATTTGCTGGGACACTGCCAGAGGATCATGGCATAGGCAGTGTCAGGGATTACTAAAATCTCCCAAGCCACTTCCAGTCCATGGTCACTGCTTCACCAGCATAAATTTATTTATTCTAAGACCCTGAGACTACAGTTCCAGGGGCACTGGGCCCCAGCAGCCACTGGCAAGGCCACAGAGAGGATTCCTGCAGCCATGTGCCATGAACACTGCTTCCTGGACACACTGACCACGATCTAGGCAGCTTTGGTGGAGTAAGGGGACTCTGTGAATGTGAGAACCTAAAGCAAACGGAAAACAGCAGCCTATAAAGTTCCTAATATTTCAAAATGCATATTTAGCAGAAGAAGAAACAGAGGGGAGAGAATGTGCAAGCTTTCAGCCTGCTGCCTACCTTTGTCAGGGTTATTCAGCTGGAAGATATCCGGGTGCTCGGGGTCATCAGGTAGCTGGACCATCCAGCCCATAATGGAGACCTTTTTGCCAGGCGTGGATTTATACTGCAAGAGAGCAACACCACATCTGGGAGGCCAGAGCCCACGCCCTCTCTGTATTCTACTCCACAGGAAGGTAGACTTGGGCCAGGCAAGACTTCACTCCCACACACTGACATCCCATCCCCCCTCCCTGCAGCTCCCAGAGGTCCTTTTCGGACCCAGGACTTACGTGTTTTCTGTCTGTGCCCCGCAAGGACTTGGCTCCATAGTACAGGAGGGTAGATCCTGAGAGTATGACCCAGTACCTGGTCCACGAGGATAGCTACAGAGGAAGTGGAGGTAGAATGACAAGGCTGTGAGTGGTGGGGGCAGATGTCACCCTGGCTGCCTGGTTACAGGCCCAGCCATGTGGGTGGAAGGGTGCCCACCCCCCATCAATGGCAGTGCAGGCCTCATCTCTACCCTGGCCCTCCACCATCCCTTCTCAATGCTACCTCCACCCAAGACCTACAGAAGAGAAGATATTTCTTTTCATGGCTGCCTCTGAGCTCATCAGCTCTAAGTTCCACGTAGGGGAGATTACCACAGGTCACTCTACACAGACAGTCTTTCTTTTTTTCACCTTGTTTTAGGCAGTGCCATGGTATAATTCCTATATGTGCAGGTGACCTGGGCCCAAGAATGTCCTGGGGAAAACCATTTTTAAAACATGGCCACGAAAAACTATAGCCTAGAAGAAACAAAATGTCTGCAATGAGGTGCTCTGGCTGAGACTGAATACTAACATTTTTTGAGTCTTTATGGCTAAACGTGGAAAACCCTACACGGCAAAGCTTCAGGCATTATTTCTGTTTCTCCAGAGGTGAAGGCTGGAATTCCCCATTCAGAAGGCTCTGCTCCTCAGTTTGAGGTAAATCACTTCAATGGGCGTTTTGGTTCTGCAAAGGTGAAGAAAATATCCCATTCTGGGAGGAGAAGTATTGAGTCTACAAGGACCAAACTGCTGTGCATCACGATGCACAAGGCTGTCTTCATGCTGGATGGAGCTGCATGGCTGCAGATGGCGAAAGCAGTGGCTTTCAGACTTTTTTGACTGACACCCATAGGAAGAAACGCAATTTATATCACAACTCAGTACACATACGCACATATATGCAGAAGTGAAAGAAGTTTCATGAAACAATACTTACCGTGACTACTCCACATTTCTATTACATTCCTTTTTATTTTGCTTTATTCTTTACAAAAATACAGTCAAGACCCACTGTATTCATTTCATCATCAACTACTGAGTCAACCAACATTTAGGAAGACATTGCTTTAAGAAAATTGCCCCTCTCTGGCCTAGCCTCTGGGTAAGGGAGAGAAGCAGTCAGGTCTTCCCAACAGGGCAGGAAGCCAAATTCAGGGCCCCATGTCACAGGGTGCTTTGTGACACTCTAGGCCCAAGTGACAGAGTAAGGCCCAGAGCTGGGGTGAAGACTCCTCCCCACCCATGAACCACCAGCACCTGAAGACGAGCCTTCAAGAGCATCTGAAGGCAGCACCTAGACAAGGACCCTAGCATCATTACAGTGGGACTCTTTAGGAGGGGGTATGGCTCCAAGTGGCTCTATGGGCAATAGACACGAGGCAGGAGCCTAAGCAGGAGAGGAAGGGCAAAGTATATGCTGCCTGGAGATGCAGCTCACAGATTTGTTTGTAGGCATGGCTAACCAGAAATAACTGAGAGGACTTTGCAAGGGGCTGAGGCCCTGCTATGGGTGGAGGTCATGAAGACAGTGACATGTGGGTCCTTCATGGCTGACCCAGGGGCTAGTGGTGGAGCCTGACAGGCATCCAGGTTCCTTGTCCCTGTTGCTCTACCACTCATTGTAGAATGCTGCTCTGAGAGCAGAGGGGAGGAAGAGAGAGAATCTGTACCTGGGAATACCACCCAGCACTGTGCATGTTCTGGGACACTCAGGCCTCTGGGGCTGTGCTGACTCTTTCAGGGGACAGTAGCCATACTAACTCCCAGGTGTTTCCAGGCTACCACTGGGAGTTAATATAAATATTACAGCTCAATATAATCATTACAGCTTCTGTTCTCTGCATGCTCACTCTGTGCAGGCCTTCCACCAAGCATGTGAAAAGCTCGGTGAGTCCTCTAGGAAGTAGGTATTATTTTATTCCTACTTACAGATGTGGAAACTGAGGCCCTTGCCCAGTCAGCAGCAGAGCCAAGGCCAGAACCCTAATCAGCTGGCCTTTGGGGCCCAGGCCCCCTCACTGCTGCCCATGCTGCCTGCACACAGGTGTGCATCTGCACTTACCGCAGGCTTCCGTCCTTCCTTGAGCAGGGTTTTCCTTCTCAGAGGCCCCTCCATGGTGGGCACTGCTGCTGAGCTCCCCACACTACAGATGCATGGGCCGGTGGGGCTGTAGGGAGACCAACAGTCAGACATTAACATGAAGGAGCTGAGGGCACACACCTTCTTACTCACTGGGGTCCACATGCTCTTGAGCCTCTCGGCCAGTGTTCCCCACTGTGGAGTCCATGACATTCCCGCAGGCCAGAGGCCCCCACAGTGGTTTGGCAAGGCCAGGGAGTGGAGCGCCCCAAGGCCACAGAGGAGCACAAAGAAAGGGGGCCCTAGGCTCACCCACAGCTGTGAACTTTCACCTCCCTTTCTGAGGGCTGCAAAGCTCTAGGTTTGGTAACCTAGTTCCTCATAACCCAGGCCCTTAGCAGCACTCCCCACCCTATCCTCACCAACTCCTTGGCTGAGGCTTCCTCCTGGCCTCTCCCCTGGGGTCACACTTCGGGGTTGATGGTGCCTCCATACCTGAGGAGCTTGGGTCCAGTGCAGCCTTAGCTCTGGCTGCCCCAAGTGGGAAAGGAGAGAGTAGGGGGACACATCACCATTCCCTGCACCTTCTTAGCTGGAGATCTTTTCTCACCTTCTGCCGTGCAGATTTTAAGAGCTATTGCTGCTAACCAAAAGGATGGCAGTTTGAATCCACCAGGCACTCCTTGGAAACTCTATGGGGCAGTTCTACTCTGTCCTATAGGGTCGCTATGAGTCAGAATCGACTTGATGGCAACAGGTTTGGTTTTGGTTTGACCATGCAGATTCAGGCGCCACCTATAGGTGGAGACATCCAAGTACAACACCAGCCCAGACCTTTCTCCTAAGCTCCAGATCTGTACAAACTCCTGCACATTGGATGCTTACCCCCGTTCCCCCCTACACTCCACACTTCCACTCAACTGTCATCACCTTCCTCCAAGCCAGCTCTTACTCCCCATCCGAGTGAATGGCACCACCACCATCTACCTGGCTACCTGAGCCAGTAACCTGAGTTTTCTTCTCTCTCCTACCGCCCACAACCTAATCAATCCCAAGGATTCTAAGTACGTCCTGACATTCTAAATATGTCCTGACTTTCCATCTTGGCCATCCCGCTACCCCCATCTTAGGCCAGAACTTGATCTGGGCTTTGAAAGACTGCCCAATGCTCTTCTTTGGCCTTGCTGAATCCACTCTTGCTACAGCCAGTATGACCGGATCATGCCACTACCCTTCTCTTCCCTTCCCCTACTCCTACATCAAACCCCTCCAATGCTTCCCACTGGTTCTGCCCCCTGCTGGATGTAGCTCCAGCCCAACTCTCTAGCCTCATCTTGCACCTGTCTCCTCTCTCTCATTTCTTGCAATATTGACTTCCTTTCACTCATTGACTTACCCTGTTTTCCATCCCTCTCACCGCCTCTACAGGCTGTCCCTTTGGCTAGAAACATTCTTATCAGTCCTACTCCTCTCCACCCATTATTTGGCGAATTCCTATAATATTTCCAGTCCTTTCTTCAGGGAGGCCTTCCCTGTTCTCCCTAAGAGAGCTCCTCTTCTTATCTCTTCCAGAGGACCCCATACCTCCTTCTCTGGGACTTCAGGGAGTGAACCTGTGATTATTTGTTTATTTCCTGTCTCAGCTATAGCAGTAGTCTCATAAACTAAGCAGAGACTGTGCCTGTTTCATTCAGCAGCCTTTAACACAAGCTTGGCATGCAACGAGCACCCCGTAACTATTTACTGAGTAAATGAACAAATAAATGAATACCTGTAGACACAGCTCTGGGTTCTGGGAGAACTCCGAACTGGAACCCGCCAGTTGGGCCCCAAGGTGGCATAGAGACGTCCCCTGCTTCAGAGGGAAAGGGTTGAATTTTAGCAACATGCTGCAAAGAGCAGGTACTCCTGATGGAGGCAAGGGCATCCTAGACTACGTGGTCATTAGCTCGGAAAGCCCTGCAGAGCAAAAAACCCACAGCCATCGTCGAGTCAATTCCGACTCACAGTGACCCTATAGGACAGAATAGAACTACCCGATAGGGTTTCAAAGGAGCGATTGGTGGATTCGAACTGCCAACCTCTTTGTTAGCAGCCGAGTTCTTAACCACTGTGCCACCACAGCTCCTCCAGAGCAAAAGTACCCTCCAATTCCTAATCCAGCCTTCTTGGTCATGCTGCAAGCACATGTGGAGCACATATAGAGGGGCCAGGTCAGCGATCGCAACACCCTCTAGAACCTCCATCTGTGTAAGTCCCCAAGTCTCCAGGTAATTATTTCCTTAATTTATTATTGAATGTGCACTCATTTTTTAGTGTCAAGGGGATTTATAAAATATAAGATAAGCCCACTTACCACAATGTGAAGTTGAGATGTTTAATAAAAAATGCCATACAGTATATTCCATAACAAGACCATATTAAAAGTGCACAGACACAGAATTGTAGGCAATCTTGGAAACTGCGCCTGGGGGGCATGCGCAGCATCATTGTTCACCAGGACACAACTGAATCCCTCTGTTTGCTACATTCACTGGGCAGTATCCTTTGCTGGCTCTAGACAGTCTCCTGCAGGCTTGCTGTGTCCTGCAGAGGAGAGGATCTCTCCGCGGGCCATCCACCTGGCTTTCCTTTCATCTGTAGTTTCCAGCAGTGAGTCTTTCCAGGGGAAGGTGCAAGCTTAATGCATTCAGGGGGAGGTTTCCATCTTTCTCCTCTCTTTATCCTTTCCTCTCTTAGAAGAATCACTTGCTGTATCCACTTCTCTCTAGCCCTGTAGCATGGTCTATCCCTGAACTACAGCTTTCCTTGACCATTGGTGAGAAAACAATATAATGCAATTTATAAAGTCAGACAAAGTCCAGACTTCCTTTCCAAATATTCCCTCTGCTCTCCACTGCCAGTCATAGGTTGCTGCATACTGTCCTGTGTCACTAGACACCTGTGTGAAGAAATGCCGTGGGCACATCGTATCATGAGTGAGTCCAGGGTCTTCTGAGAGGTAGCTATGTTGCCCTCTGCCCCTCCATCCTTCAACCAAGAAGGAACTGTTCTTGATGACCATCTTGGGTCCACTGTCCAGGTGCCCAATTTCAGGGCTGGTGGGAGTCTGATGGTCATTTCAGATGACTGCTCCTGGACCCCGCCCCTCCTACCCCATCAGCTACTTCTCTTTTGGTGATGAAGTGCCACGGTGTGTGCTTGGCTCACCAAGACTTCTAATGTAACAAGTCTTGGCCCTTTCCCCACCACAACCCCAGTGTCAGATGATGGTCATTTGCTGACCACACTCCTACCATGAGCTGTAGCATAAAAGAGAGAGGACCTGGTATGTCTGACCCCTAACCCACTGGTCAAATTGCCTCTTCCCTCTTCTATTCAAGAAAGCAGGTTAGAATATAGTTGAGTGTGACATTATACAGATAATGGTGACTTCTACCACCAGTAACAGTTGCTGAGCACCTCACAATTGTGCACCATCTGAATAGGTCACGATCCTGTGCTTAAGCAACGCTGCTCAGGGGAGTCTGTAACAGGATGCCTCCAGGGTCACTTCTTTCCCCACTCAAAAGGGGTACTTCCTACGAGCCAGGGAGGGCCTGACAATGAACCTTTCTGCAACGACATCCCTTGTGGCTTGGTGGGCTCCTCAGAGGACACCTTCTCTTCATCTGATCCAGATTCACGCTCTGAGCTTCTGTCTGTTTAGAGTTGGAAATAGAGTCACCATTCTCAGAGCTAGACCCTCTAGTCCCTTCTCTTCCACCTTTCTTCTCATGAGTCTTTCTTCCCGGGCACCCCATACTTGTGATGATAGTGGCATGTTCACGATTACCAGTAGTTCTTCAGACAGGGCATAGGTATCTTGGGGCTCACATTTCATAAAGTCCCTGAGGCCCTGTTGCTAGTCTAGGAGGTTCTCCCTAGAAGTTTTGGATAATAATTATGTTAAGGTCTCAGTAATTTTAGTCTTAGTAGATGGAGGGACCCCATTCTTCCGTCTCCAGAGCAGAGTCCTCTGGGAGGGGTGTACCTGTGGAAAGGTCCAGGTGATGCTGTTTAGTCTCTCAGTGCTGCTACCTTCTTTCCATCACTTTCCCCCTTTTGAGACAGTCCATGGCTACATATTTAACAGGTGTTCGGCAGAAGTGACATTTGTCGATAGATTGCTTTAAATCAGTACTTTCCAGCCAGTCTGGCCTTTTAAACAGTCTCCTCATGCTCCAAGTGCACTGGACTGGTGGGGGAGTATATCCGCTCACAGGCCATTGGGGTGTAGCACAGACTGACCAAGGAGTCACTAGTTATTGAGTATTCATATGTGCCAGGACATTACATTTATTATCTTATTGAAGCTTTGTTTAAGCAATAGTAGCCTCTCCACAATAAGGAAACTGAGGCTCAGTGATGTGAAGCTACTTGACTAAAGCACAAGCCTCGTAAGCCAGGATTTGAACCCAATCTGTGTGATTCTGTAGCTCAAGCTCCTAACCACACTAAGAGATGCTGCCTTTCAGGGTGGAGGGAGAGCAAGAGGTTTCAGATGTGGTGGGATCTCTCACAGGGAGCCATCAAAAGACCCTGTGGACTGGATTCCATGTTTGCAGCCAGCATCATGTGGGAAGGTTCCCTGGCATTCTGCTCTCAGAGGCACCACCATTTGTGCTATCTGCCTGCAGCTCACTAAATGGGCTTTGTTGGTTTTTATGAGACTGGATGGCCACAAAATTCTTAAGCTGAGGATCTCCTGGGGTGGGGCCACCTCCCAAGTCCCCTGGCCCCTTGGTTTCCCTGATGGGGTATTCTGCTGGTTTTGGCTGCCTGGCACTTAAGCAGCTGATATTTATCAGCTGCCTACCCACGTCAACTAAGTGCTTTCATTCAACCCTGTGGGAGAGGCACTGTTCTCATAACCTGTTTAGATGATGAAACTGAGGCTTAAGGAGGTGAAATCACTTGTCCCACCCTACTGGCCTGCTATTAGCGATGTAGATGCAAGTGCTCACAAAGGGAGGCTTGCTTGCCTTCATAAGCCAAGTGCCTGTGTCAGTCTACCTGCTCCAGGCTGTGGAAGTTAGAGATCATTCTCCCTAGAGGCTGGGACAGTGACACTGGGTCTTGAAGGGTAAAGTAATGGTGAATTTCCCCGGGGCCAGCTGTTAGGAGAAAGAGGGTCAGGATTGTGGTGTCCCAGGGTAAGCCCACTGCAGAGCTAAGGGAGGGCTGTGATGGCACAGGGTGACTCTGGCTGGGCCTAGGCAGGCTAGCATCTGCACAGAGGAACTAAATCTTCAGCCACTGGAGACAATCTGATCACTTCCCAGCTTTGAGAAGATTTGTTATTCAAATGTCCAGGGTCAGAAAATGAAAAATGAACAGCCAGTGGTTATCTGGTGAACCCCAGAAATCAGTGGGTTTCTCTGACTTACATGGGGACTCTCACTCCAGAACAAGACATGTTTCCCAGCATCATTCTGGGAACATGTGGGCTAAGCAGAACACGTCCCAGGAACGCCACTTCACTGTCCCCTCTCAGGGCTGTATGGGGAAGGAGGAGTTACAGTAGGCAACCGAGGCCTTCCTAGACCAGGAGCTCATGGGTGGAGAAGGGGACATAGGCTGGCAACCAGGTAGAACATCTCAGCCCCAAAGGGTGTACAAGATGATGATGAGTGTGATGATGATGATGATGGATATCAGACAATATGCTAAGCAGTATGTGTTCATTATCTCATTTAATCATACAACACTGGAGATAGGTACCATTATTATCCCTAGCTTATAGATAAAGAATCTGAGGCTCTGGAAGGTAGAGTAACTTGCCCAAGGTCATGATGCCAGGAAGAGGAAGAGTGGGTGGTGCTGTTGAGGTGGAAGCAGCCAGGGTACTGCTTGGGCCAACAGCATCATGGCCCACTCAGTTTAGTCAAGGCAGGTCTGAAAGGCTATCTTGCCCTCAATCATTTTCTAGATACACATTAGGTTGTAGGTATCTTGGAGTTCAAATTTCATAAAGTCCCTGAGTGCCTGTTGCTAGTCTAGGAGTTTGGAAAGCAGGGAGAAGCCTTGGAAAATAATTACATTGAAGCTTCAGTAATCTTAAGTCTTGGCAGAAGTAGGAACCTCATTCTTTGTCTCAAGAGCACAGATACCCCTGTGAGGGGTGTACCTGTGGAAGGGTCCAGGTGACACTGTTCATCAGCAGTGTCTATCTGCACCAATGAGCCCTTGATGGGAAGCCTGTCCCATTAGGCTATGGGTTGGTCATCAACACTTCCAGATGATTCAGCCTTATCTGCAGCAGGAATCTGCTGCCCTGAGTTCTGTTGGGCCCTAGGACTTTCCTTCCACAGCAACGCTTTTTGAAGGACCTGTGCTGCCTGTGAGGTACTCACTTCTCTGGAAAATGTCACTGATTCACTGAGTGGGTCCCTAGGATGCATGTTTATACTGCATGTCCCCATCCTTCTGATACCTGAGTAGATAGGATAATGCCTGAACCAAGCCAGCTCAGTAAGATTTTCTCTCCTGGAAACTAGGAACCAGATTTGAGAGACTGAAACAGGTTATGCGGAAGAGTGAAGCTATAACATATAAATTTGGGAGCCATGAGGTGCCCATCTTCCCCTCTGTGGACTGAGAAGTCCAGAAAGCTGGTCTGCAGAGATAAGAGTATAAAGCAGATATGCAGAGAGAAGGGCAGACAAAAGATGAAAGGAGAGTTCTGCCTACTTGCCAGGTCTTGACTCAGAGGGAGCTATCGCCAGAGATTTCTCAGCTAGCCATGAATCAGCAGCAGCTAACAGGCAAGGTCCACTCCTTGTCTGCTATAGCCTAAGGACAGGGTCAAGCAAA